GGATCCCACAGATCTGCCCTTGGCTAGCACAGGGTGGGGCTGCTGAGGTCCTGGAGATTGGTCACCAGGGGCCGCTGTTGTCACACTCAGGGGCCTCCTCAGAGGGGTTCAGAAGGAAGCTTGGAACCTGGGGATGTGGTCAGGAAGACCACCTGTGAGCGCCCTATTGGGTGTGCCCTGAGGGTTTGAGACAGGAAGTATCCCATCCCCACCCTCGTACCCTCACCCCAAGAAGGAGAGAAGGTGGTCTTGACTGCCTCTGGAGAGTTCAGGACCAAATTGCTGTGTGCCCTCAGGCAAGTTGCCTCCCCTCTCTGAACCTCAGTTTCCTTTCTTGCAAAATAAGAGTACTCATCCCTACTTCTCAAATGTGGCTTCCTTCTCTTCCCTGAGGGCCTCACCCGTCTTTTGTGCCTAACTCAATACGATGGACAGGACCAGTTAGGGTGTACTGGAAATGAGACCCAGCGACTCCAGGTCAGGGTTGGGTTCCAGTCCTTGCTCTGCCACATACTCATTATGAGTCCTTGCAGTGTAATTGGGGAAGCTGAGGTCCAGAGAGGAGAAAGGACTTACCCATTTTCCCCAACTGCAATAAGAGGCAGGACTCAGTATTTCCTGAAGTCCTCTTTGTTCCATGGGGTACAAATAGATGGAAACAAAAACTTAGGTGGTCAAAAAAGTTAGGGAAATGCCGGGTTAAAGCTAAAAGGGGGCCGGGTGTGGTGGCTCATGCCTGTAATTCCACCACTTTGGGAGGCCAAGGCAGGCAGATCACTTGAGGTCAGGTGTTTGAGACCAGCCTGGTCAACATGGCAAAACTCATCTCTACTAAAAATACAAAAATTAGCCAGGCATAGTGGCACATGCCTGTAATCCCAGCTACTCGAGAGGCTGAGGCAGGAGAACTGCTTGAACCTGGCAGGCGGCGGTTACAGTGAGCCGAGATTGTGCCACTGCAAAAAAGTTAAAAGGGAATCTTGCCTGCAGGATTTGTTAGTGTCTTTAATATGTTAATACGATTTGTGTATCTCCAAGAGCCGGGATAGGCATCTGTTTCTCAAACTCTTTTGACTAGAAAACCCACTTTCCAAGGTGACTTGGAAGTCAGCTGCACTAGGCGAGGATGGGAATACTCCATCTAACTTTGTTGTACGTCTTTTACCTAGCAGCTCTGTGCTACCCAGGGGATTTGACCACCCATCTCCTAAATTAAACCTCACATGGTACATACATTAAAATAGTAGCCTCATTTTTTAAAATTTTATAAGACAAGGTCTTGTTCTGTTGCCCAGGCTGTAGTGCAGTGGAGCGATCATGGCTCACTGCAGCCTCGACCTCCTGGGCTCAAGTGATCCTCCCACCTCAGCCTCCTGAGTAGCTGGGACTACAGGCACACACCACTACACCCAGCTAATCTTCAAATTGTTTGTACAGATGGGGTCTCATGATATTGCCCAAGCTGGTCTTGAACTCCTGGGCTCAAGTGTTCCTCCAGCCTTTGCTTCCCAAAGTGCTGGGATTACAGACGTGAGCCACAGCTCCCCATCAGAGCCTCAGTTTACAGCTGGGAAATAGGTGAGTCAGGAGTGATCACTTGCCTGAGGCCACACACACCTGCACACAGCCTCAGGATGGAACCAGTTCTGTCTGACCCTCAGACAACTACATCCCACAGCACTCAGAGGGGTCCTCTTACAGGACAAATCTGCCCTATCCTGCTGACCACACATCACCTGGTGCCACCTCACTCCTCCAGGTTTCGCCACTTCCTTCAACAGATCTGGAAATTGAGGCTCAGAGAGGCATACAAGTCACCCAGGGTCACACGTGGAGTCACTGGGATACTAAGTTCAGTTTTCCTGCCTCCTCCCCTTCCCCTGCTACTTGCTGGAGAGCTGGTGATGGTGGCAATTTAAACAGAAAACCTTTAGTCCCTTGCTCTCACCTACCGCACTGGCCGGACCCCACCTTCTCCGGCAACGTTGGGGGCGGGACGGGGTGTGGGCCCTTTAAGAGCACTGGGCAGGCGCAGTGGTGCTGGGCGTACGTGGAGCTGGGCGTGGAGTCCAGGCTGCAGCCGAGGGAGCCGAGTAGGGCAAAGTTAGGAGTCGCTGTTTGGATGGCAAGTTCAGAAGTTGGAACTTGTCTCAGTTTCCCCGCTCCAGAAATGGGGCTGGGATCTAAAGACAGGGGTATGAGTGAAGAAAACACAGAGCCACCCTGGAAAGGTGAGTGTCCACTAACATAGCTTCCTCTATCCAAGTCTGCGCCTGAGCCCCCGTGGCCTCCTGGGGCAGCTCTGATCTCTCTGTAAGGTCACCTGTCTCTGACCTGGGGTGGTCTTCTAATGGTCGCTATGACAGGAAGTGATAGCCGAGGTTTTCTGCACACCTGGCTACCATATTAGACAGCTCTGTGGTAAAGGGTGTGAGCCCAGGACAGCTAAAGAGAGAGAGAAGGATTCTAGTGTCAGAACAGAGACCTAGAGAAGGACTGCAGCTCCCACCTGGGGCCTGGATGAAATGGTGGCTTCTCCTCTCTGTCTCCCTCAGCCACCGGGACGTCTGGGCAGTTGGGGCTCTGGGACCCAAGGCTGGGCCTGGGTTCTGGAGCCAAATTGGCCACATTTGGCGGTTGACAAGTTGTTTTCTATTCTCTGCAAAGGGTTGCGGCTGGGAACTCAGACTCAAAATCAGACAGGCCTGTGTTCTATCCCAGCCACTTCGTCATTCTTTATCCTCAGCTGTGTGACTTTGGGCAAAGTGATTGCCCTGTGGGTCTCACTAACCTTGTCTGTAATGTGAGTGCATGCACCTGTTGCGCCAAGTGGTTGTGAGAACCAAGTAATGTTTAGCCCTGAGCCTGGTATCTGGTCTGCCTGTAGTAAGTGTGGGATCTCGGTAATTGTAGCAGTGATAGCAATGCTTTGGTCACCTGTCCTCCCCCGTCAATGTGGTAATCAAAGCTGATTGATTGTATAAAGAAACCATGCTAGAATGGCCACCAGAGGGCACTTTGAGACCAGCCAGCCCAGTTCCTAGATGGGGAAACTGAGGCCCAAGGAGGCACAGGGAGTCAGGGCTAGAGCCCCAGCTGCATTCCTGGGCCCAGACCTGGACTGTGCCGTGTGCCCCCACATGCCCCGCGCACAGACCCCACCCTGCGGAGGATGAGATTTTTCCAGGATAGCGGGTGCGTCCTTTGCCCTGATATCCAAATGTGAGAGACCCGGCATGGAGAGTGGCTCCAGCCTCTCCCGGTTCCCCTCTCCTGATGCCCCAGTGTGGGTACGCCTGGCGGTTGACCAAGGACATGGGGACCTGGGTGACCAAGTTGGTCCTTGGGTGGCCCCAGTGGTGACGACTGGGAACAGCTAAGCCATAGGCCATCTCCCAATGCAACACCTGGCCCTAGACCTTGGTTTCCTGCCCTGCTCCCTCCCGAGTGCTGACACTGCTTTTGTCTGCTTGAATTCCATCTCTGGTTCTGGTGCCGCCCCCTTGGGAAATGGATTGGTTAGGGTCACTCACGGTGGCATTGTCAGGACTGGAACCCAAGTCTAGCCCACTGCAGAGGCCAGGCCTGCTGGGCTTGCCCTGTCCGGGCTCCTCTGGGTTCCGGATGCCCCCAGGCGGGCTTTGATTATGAATGGGGGTGGGGGTGGGGCTTGCAGCCAGAACGCCTCGCTCCCTCTCAACATCCTTGTGGCCGTTGGTCAGGTTGTGTCCTCATATGTAAAATGGGCATGATTTTATCACCTACCTGATAGACTCTAGTGAGATCAGAAAAGCACTCTGTCGATTGCCATTTATACTAGTTGTGTCCTATTTGTGATGATTCCCGGCAGCCTTTCACGCAGCTCTGCCTTTCCCAGCTCCTCACCCAGCTGGGCCCGGCTCCTGCTCCCCAGGGGCTGGGGTGATGTGCTTGGCTCATTGACCCAGTGCAGAAAGGCCCGGGTCCCCCCTGCCGGACACGGTCCCTTCCTCTCGGAGCCTCTGTTTCCTCTTCTGTGGACTGGGTAGTATGTGCTGCCTGACTTCGATGCCTGGTCTCAGGGAGGTGGACCACCCACCGCAGAGTCAAATCCAAGGCGTCCCCTCTGCCCCATCTCTGCCCTGGACTTCACCATTGCCAGCCACCCTAGCAGGGCTCTGTGAATGGGAGGGGAGGCCTGCCTTAGCTGGGAGCTCTCCAGTTCTCCGGCCCTAATATTGGGTTAGGAGGCTGGGGGAGAAGAGATGGGAGGAGGCGAAGGCAGGAATGGGACACAGGGAAGAGTCCATGTTGTGAGGTTTGAACCCCAGCTTCCCACAGATTTGCTGTGTGACCTCGCACAGATTGCTTCAAGTCTTAGTTTTCTCCTCTAGAACGCCTCCCCCCCGCAAGGGTGTTGTGGGGCTCTGGCAAGATACAGTATGTAGGAAGATGCCTGGTCCACAGCCAGGGCCTAATAAATGCTGAGCTCCCTGGGGCGGGGGTGGTCTCCTGCAAATCCCTGGGCACCACAGCAGGGGGTGGGTGGGCACTGGGGTGTCTGGCCTGGCTGAGATGTAGTTGGCCATGGAGATGGCTGCTGCCTAGCCACTGTGGCCTGTCCCCAGCCCCACTGCCACCATGGCCCCTTGGAGCATGCCAGGTACAGAGGAAGAGCTGGGAATAAATTGTGGAGGGGAGATGCCCCCTCGAGACCACCATCGAGGGAATGAGGAAGAGGGCCCCGTTTGGTTCTGTCTCTGCTGCTGTGGGGATGGATCGCTGGCCGTGACCTAGCGGCCATCAGCCTGTGTGCTAAATGACAATGTCCATCTTGAAAGAGCTGGAAGAGGGGAAGCACTGAGTGCGGAATGCCCCACGCACAGGAGGTACCCGGAGGTTCCTGGCCCGCTTCCCTCCTGGGCTGCAAGCCTGGTCAGCTGGGGGGAGACAGCCCCTTTCACTCCTAAGGGGAGGAAGAAAGAAAACGAAAACAAGAGCTACGAAAGCAACCCGACAGCTGAGGCACCATCTGTGTTTTCCTTTTTTTTTCTTTCTCTTCGTTTTTAAAACAATATAGTGCAGACTGCACTTCTCACAGTAGAATATAATGGTCAATTTTAGTATAAAAAAAAAACATTCTCAGAGATTTGTAAATGCACTTAGTGCTTGAACAGGCCTTGGAGAGAGATACAGTACCGCTTCCAGAGCGCCAGAGGGGCCAGGACTTGGGGACTTCATGAGGGGACTCCTGCCTGTCTTTCCCCCACTTGATCGTGTGGGACAGGCCTTGGAGGGTGGTTTGCAGGAAAGGAGTTGGATTAGGCCTCCCAGTTAAAACCAGGACGGTCCCAAGAGACCCCTCAAAGGCAAGGGAGGTTCTCTCTGAATGGGATCTAAGATTGCAGGCCCATTGTTAGCCCCTGTGGTGCCTTTGTGCGAACAGGAAAATGACGCCCCTTCCTCAAGATGCAGAAAATTGTAATAAATATACAAGTTTGGGTGAAAGTGGTGTCTCCTTGGACAAGGTGCCCTTGTGCAGTGCACAGCTTGCACAACTGTACTCAGCAGCCCTATAAGATGTATTGGAGAGAAGGGGGAAGATGGTAGTCCAGGGTTTGGAGAATGGGGATGGGGTGCAACTCTGTGTTAGCAAGGAATGGTGGGGGCAAGGGGAGGAGGAACAGGGGGACTGGTATAGTCGCTGGGGCCTCTGTCAGAGTGGTCTTCACCTGGCTGGTGGGGAGACATTCTGGGCCCAGTGACTTCCTATCGGCCTCCTGTGCCCCTTTTCCAGAATACTGGGGAGTCAGCGTGGGGAAACATAGCTGCCTGACCCCTGGGGGCTGCTCTGCCCCCACCCTGACTCTGGTGCGCCCGTTTCTTCCTGCACCCCACCTTAGCCTGGGCCTCTGTCCCAGAAGGCCCAGAAAGAACCATTCTTGTTTTCGAGTGGTTTTTCTCTCCCTGCCTCTGCCAGCTTAAAGGAAGGCGTGGGCGTCAGTGGCTGCCCCCAGGCCCTCCCTGTGTCCTGGGGCAACCGATGGTGGGGAGGGGCCTTGGTATGTGAGGTTGCCCTGCCACCCTCCATCCGGCCACAGCAAGGCGGCAACCAGCCTGGCTTCCCTGTGGGCATCAGCAGGCACAGGGTGGGGCTGAGCGCCCCTGTGAGCCGCCCACCCTGTTCTTCCACCTGCCTCCCTGCTCCACGCCCCGTCTGCGTGTCCGTGCATCCGCAGGGCAGGCCTTATCTGTAGACGGGTAGGCGGATGTGGGCATGCTGGTGGTCGAGTAGCCGGGGCACGGCCACCGTCTCATAGCCCTTGCCCAGCATCTGCTCCTTGATGCAGGGTGGCCGGATGTCATTGATGAGATACTCCAGCGACTGCAGGCTGCTGCTCAGCACCGATGTGTTGCACACACTCTTGCTGGGCAGGCCCGAGAGGGCATCTGCGGGAGGCCCAGCCAGCTCCCGGGCTGCCCCCGGCCCCAGCTCCGTGACTGCCACTGCCGCCGCCGGGTTGTAGCAGTCGCTGGTGGGGGTCACCAGCACACTGTTCCAGGGGGCTGCAAAGTACTGGCCCACGGTGAAGCTGGTGGGCAGCCCCACGCCACAGTTGAGGGGTGACCCGCTGGCCCGCTCATATGCCCGGCCCCCACAAGCCTCGGGGGACTTGCTGGCCACCGTGCTCCCACTGTAGGCACGCAGTGGCTGGGGTGGTGGTGGGGGTGGTTTCTGCGGCCACAGCAGGTAATCCAGGCCGCTGTCTGCGTACCCTGCAGGCTTGGTGGCCCCAGCCAACGTCAAGGCTTGGGTGGCTCCCTGGCCCAGCTCAGTGCCTTTCCGGCAGTCGGGCAGACCGGCTGCGGCCGAGTAGGCCATGCTCGGGAAGCTGGGCACTGGGCCGTGCTTGGCAGGGCTGGGATGGGGAACAGCCACGCCCTGGCAGGCAGGGGGTGCGGCGCCCGGGGCCTGGCACTGCTGGTTGAGCTGGTAGAGGAGGCTGTGGATGGAGGGCAGGTTGGAAGGTGGCAGGGGCAGGCCCCGGCCTGGCAGGGGGATGACGGAGGCGGCAGTGGCGGCTGCAGGCAGGCCGGGTGGTGGAGCAGGCGCCTCAGGTGGCTTGGGGTAGGCCAAGGGCCCCAGAGTGCTGGGCGCTGGGTAGGGCGCAATGCCCACCTGCACGGCGGCCGGTGACAGCTTGGTCCGCTTGCCCTCGGCGCTCTTGAGCACACTTTTGGCGGGCCCAGCTGGTGCGGCCGTGCTGGAGGAGGAAACCGCGGCCTTGACAATGGCCAGAAGGCCCTGGTAGCCAGTGGTGTGCTGTGGGTAGGGGCTGTAGCGCTGGCCACTGGTGTCATAGCCATTGACTGTGCGGCTGAGGTGCTTGTGCTGGGGCACACGGATGTTGGTGGGGAAGATCTTGATGGACAGCGGGCTGTTGGCCACCTTCTCGGCATAGGCGTCCAGTTCTGCCGGGCTTGGGTAGCGGGAGGAATGCATGGCGCTGGCCACCGCCTCGCCTGCGGGAGGAAAGCGCGTGTGAGGGTCCATCAGGAGGCCACGCCTACCTTTCCCCACAGGGCTCACGAGTCCCTCCCCCTCCACTCATTTCCCATTCATTTCATTCCTTATTCCTTCTACATTTTTAAACTTTGAATTTGAGTGTAAAGTGCAGGGAACTGCCTGCATCATAAGCCTGATGAACTTTCACAAAAGGAACACAACTGTTTTATGGCACCCAGGCCAAGAGACAGGACATTGCTAATCCCCGGGCCCCTCCCAGTCTCTAAGCACACCACGCTAACCACTATCCTGACTTCTAACACGGACTGGTTGTGCCTGGTTTGTGTAAGTGGTAAGATGGAATTCTACAGTATGTACTCATTTGCACCTGGCTTCTGTCACTTCATACTATGCGAGAGTCATCCAGGTGGCTGCGTGGGGAGTAGTTTGGCCTGTCTCATTGCTATATGGTATTTATTGTGTGACTATGCCTCAATCTGTTCATCCTTTCTGTTCTTTTAGAGACAGGGTCTTGCTCTGTCACCCAGGCTGGAGTGCAGTGGTGCAATCATGGCTCACTACAGCCTTGACCTCCTAGGCTCAAGTGATCCTAGGTATGCGCCCCTATACCTGGCTAATTTTTGTATTTTTTACAGAGACGGGGTTGCGCCATGTTGGCCAGGCCAGTCTCAAACTCCTGAGCTCAAGTGATCCTCCTGCGTTGGCCTCCCAAAGTGCTGGGATTACAGGCATGAGCCACTGTGCCTGGCCCATCCTTTCTATTCTTGATGGTATTTGGGTTGTTTCTAGCTGATAGAAATAGTGCCACAGGCTGGGTGAGGTGGCTCACACCTGTAATCCCAGCACTTTGGGAAACTGTGGAAGGATTGCTTGAGCCCAGGAGCTCAAGATCAGCCTGGGCAACACAGCAAGACCTCATCTCTATGGAAAAGAAGAGGGAGAGAGAGAGAGAGAGAGAGAGAGAAAAGCCAAGCATCATGGTGCATGCCTGTAGTCCTAGCTACTTTGGAGGCTGAGGTGGGAGGATCACCTGAGCCCAGGACTTGGAGGCTGCAGTGAGCTGTGACTGTGCCATTGCATTCCAGCCTGGCCGACAGAGCAAGACCTTGTCTCAAAAAAATAAAAGTAAATAAATACAGTGCCATGGCCCCTAGCGCATGCAGAGTTCTGTTGGAAATATACCCAGGAATGGAATTTCTGGGTCATGGGGCAGATGCCGCTGCCCGGCTTTGGGAGAAAATGCCTGACCATTTACCTGTGAGACCATGCCCGGCTACACTCCCACCCGCAGAGCACAGGAGTTCCAGTGACCCCACAACCTGCCAGTGCTTGGTGTCATCTTTTATTCTGTCACCACTCTGGGGACATTCCTTCCTTCTAACCCTTTTATCCTCCCTGTGCCTCCCTTCCTCACCTGTGAAACGGGATGGTGACCCCCTGCCCACCTCATGGGCTGGTGAAGCATGCTCCTATGTGAACAGGGCAGATGGGGCTTAGCGCCAGAGCGAGCTGCTGTCTCTTGCTTCCCGGCCCCTCCCTGAGTCTACTGGTCACCTGCAAGGCCAGCGTGGCTGCTGCTGCCTTTTTAGTGAGCCATCCACGTGGGGCTGAAGGGTATGCTCTGTGCTGCAGGCTGTACCCAGTAGTGCCACTGTAAGTGGACACAACTGGCCCTGCCGTGGGGAAGGAGGGCCATGGCGGGCAGACTCCTGCCCCGATCCAAAGCCCCTCCCTGGTCCTGAGACATTCCCAAGGGTAGCCCACGGCTTTCCTGGGGCCGAGGGGGTGTGGAGAGTGGTGGTGGTAGAGTTCATGAGGCAGATGGAATGGCGCTGGGCATGTAGTTTGCCCAGCTGAGCCTGTTTTCCCACCTGTAGAAAGGGGGTCATGATCATGCCAGGTCTGCAAGGTAGCCTCAAGGAATAGAGGCACCAGGGGGCTCAGTAAGGGGTGAGGTACATCACAGGTGCTTAGAGCTCATGACTCTCGGGGGGCTTGGGAGAGGAGCTTCACCACTCAGCCTCTGCTTCCTCATCTGTGAAATGGGGTGATGCTGTTGCTAATACTACTTCCCAAGGTGGCTGGGAGGGTTTGACAGGTCACGCACGGTAGATGGCATTAACAAAAGCTGGCGTTCTGTGAGCGTTAGTATTAATACCCTCCCCGTCTGCCCAGAGAAAGGGCCCTCCCAGATAAGGAAGGGGCAGGGGGCTCACACCACCCTTCCAACGGGCACAGGTGGGACTGGCATTGCAGCGGGGATAAAGTGCGGACCGTGCTACCTCCCCACTGATCAGAAGGCCACAGGCCACGTCCCATCCTTCTAAAGCATTGTCCCTGACACCCTCGGGGCTCGTCCAAGTGAAACGGGATGGTGAGGAACAGGCAGTGGCGGGACATGGGGGTCCAGAGACAGCTTCCCAAAAGGAACGATATCCTGGTTAAGTCCTGGGCCACTGGTAGAAGGGGTGAAAAGGGAGAAGAGAAACAGATTTTAGGCAGAGTAAACAGCCCAGGCAACGGCCCTGGGAGGTAAGTAGTCTGGTGGAAACTGTAAATGACTCAGGAGGAGAGAGGAAGCCTGGGGCAGGCTTGCAGAGAGAAGCCCAAGAGAGGCAGCTGGCCGGGAGGGCCTCGAGCCAGAGCAGGGAGAGCCTCTTCGCTGCAGGACAGCGGCTCTCGCTGCACGGGGCACTCTGGCTGTGTGTAGAGACATGTTTGGCTGTCACAGCTAGGGGTAGAGGTGCTACTGGCATTGGGTGGGTCATGGCCTGGGATGCCGCTAAACATCCTACAATGCACAGGACAGCTCTGCCACAGAGAAGGGTCCAGTTCCAACTGTCAGCGGTACCAAGGGGGAGAAGCCCCGACCTGGGAACACTGGGCAGCCATGGGAGGTTTTAAGCAGGGTAAGGCATGGGCAGGCCTATAAGCCTAGGCAAATGAGCTTCCGTCGGCTTATTTGCCTCTGCCCTGGGGTGAACGGTGTGGTCTGACCTGGCCAGGGCAGCAGGGAGTGAAGAAATAGGTGGCTCTCCGTCCATCCGGCCTCGCTGGAGCTGGGCAAGTAGACCGGCCATGGCCCCCATCCTGACGCTGCCCGGGGCAGCCTCCTCCTAAGTGGCCTAAAATAAACTCGGTGTGGAGAATGGAAATGTCACTTTGGCCAACGGGGGAATCTTTCTCCGAGATTGGATTTAAACTACATTATACAAGCAATTTCATGGGCACTTAGCGCCACTCGGAGAGTCCCGCAAAAAAAGGGACCAGCTCTTCATTTACCAGCCATAAATCAGCAGTTGCTATAATGAGCACAAAAATGTCACTTTTATGCAATTTTACAGATGAACAAAACTGGTGAAATTAACTGTGGTAACCTACTGGAGTCAGCAAAAGCAGCTGCCGGGGAAAAAAAAATTATATCTGTATGTATTTTTGTTCCTCTTAAACTCTCTTCCCAAGCAAGTTTCTGCCACTGTGGTGTGAAAACTCATTTGTCCTCACCATTATACTTTCATTTGGAGTTTATCTTGAGTATCCAATGAGCCACCAACTGTGAAAATGATTAAATCTACAAAATCTATCTAATGGATGGAATAAATTAGGTGTTTAAAACCTTAAGAAGAAGAAGAAGAAAAATGCCTGTTCCTAGTCCCCATTCACTGAAAGAAGGGGCATTTTGCCCCCATGTGGTCAACAGGGCTCAGTGAGGGTGACCTGGTCCCTCTGCCATTCCACAGAAAGTGCCATAATACAGAAGCTCATTTTGGTGAGTGTCTAGTATGTGCTAGGCTCCATGGCCATGGCTTTTCTTCTTCTTCTTCTTTTTTTTTCTTTAAGACAGGGTCTCACTCAGGGTAGAATGCAGTGGCACAGTCATAGCTTACTGCAGCCTCGACCTCCCAGGATCAAGTGATCCTGCTGCCTCAGTCTCCCAAGTAGCTGAGACTACAAGGGTGTGCCACTACACCTGGCTGATTTTTATATTTTTTGTAGAGATGGGGTCTCACCATGTTGCCCAGGCTGGTCTCAAACTCCTGGGCTCAAGTGACCCTCCCACCTTGGTGTCTCAAAGTGCTGGGATTACAGGTCAGCACTTTGAGATGCCACGGCGTCCAGCCTCCATGGCTTTTCTTCACGACTCTCGTTTGGAGGCCCCAACAACCTAGAGGTGGGAGATAGTCCCCGTTTTACTGATAAGGAAACAGACAAGTTATGACATTTGGCAGCTGGCCTCCATGATCTGCCACTCACACCAATGATTTTTATACCTCCTGGTATTCATGCCCTGTCCAGTCCCTGAGACCCACACTAAACAGGACTGACCTGTATAACTAGTATGATACTCTGGAGGTGAAAGAATATGACTTCCAGGGCTCAGTCATAAAAGTAGTTATGGCTTCCTCCTCACTCACTCTCTCAGACCACTTGTTCTGGGGGAAGCCACTGCTGTGTCAGGACACTGGAGCAGCCCATGGAGAAAGAGGCCCATGTGGCCATGAACTGCAGCCAAAAAGACCATGTGAGACTTCTTGGAAGTAGATCCTCCAGCCCCAGTCAGGCCTTCAGATGAGAGTGCAGCCCTGGCCAATATCCTGACTGCAACCTCATGAGAGACCCTGAGCAGAACCACTCAGGCAAGCTGCTCCCAACTTCCTAAGCCACCAAAACCATGAAAGATATTAAGTGACTGTTGCTGCCTTAAGTCACTGAGTTTTGCTTGTCACACAGCAGTAGGTGACTCATGCAGGTCCTGCTGTACAGAGCAGGAAGTGGAAGTTCAGAGTTTCCCAAGAGCATGCAATCAGCAAAGGGTGGGGGCTTCTTCCACGTTGGAAGGTTCTGAGCCAAGAAGACAGAGATCTGACTGGGGTCTTCCTAAGACCCCTCAGGCTGCTGGCTGGAGAGGGGCCAAAGGAAGCCCTAGGAGCTGCCCAACTGCCGGCTCCAGGCAGAGTACCCACACCCAGGGGCCCTCAGAAGCAATGGGACTTGCTGGGCCCTAAACATGAGGTTCGAGAGGCCCTGGAGATGTGGGGGATATGGACGGGGCAGGCACATGGAAAGAGGCTGCTCCCACGTGCCTGTAGCTAACTACACCCTCACAGGCGCTCTCCTCTCTGGAAGGAGGTGGAACCAAGGCGTGAAGAAACAAGCCCCAAATGCTGACCGCAGCCCACCTGGGGAAGAGGGCGCGGGTTATGGGATGGCAGGGGATTTTATTTCTCTGTGCTTTTCTATAATTGCCAGTAGCCAGTGACTGAGTATTGATTTAGGATGTGGGGAGGGGTGCACAGCTCCCTGCCTTCCTCGGGTCCTGCCTGGAGCCTGGGGTAGTGCCCTTGGCAGCTGCATCAAAGCTCCTCTTACTCCTGTGGCCCCTTCTGGCTCCCCACCCGCCTTGGTGAGGCAGTTTCTACTCCTGGGAAGACAGAGGCCTGGGGGGCAGCCTTACAGCGCCTGGGGGTGGGGCTGCAGGTGGAATGTGGACTCTGAGCCATGGCTCTGGTTCAAATCCCAGCTCTGCCACACACTGGCTGCGTGGCCTTAGGCACACCACTGTCCCTCTCTGAGCTTTCATTTTCCCTCAAGTGAAATGGGTGAATACTGCTGCGGACCTGGGAGGTTCTGTGAGAGCTGTTAAGAGCTGGCCTAGCTCAGTGCCTACCCTCAGTGGGCACATGGTTGTAGGGTTGGTGATGACTTCGTCACAGCCCCCTCCACTGCCTCCAAGCTCCCAGCTGCCTCTTTCTGTAACGCCCTCCACTGAGCTCCTTCTTGTGTGAGTCTGAGCTGTTCAGGGTAGTATTCAAGGCCCTGGCCACCTGGCCCAGGCCTCCTTCCCACAGGCCCCTGGAGCCACACACAGCGTCCCCAGCTTCCTCTCATATGCCACCCTCTGTTGACTATTCCCTCCAGGCCAGGCATTGTGCCAAACCCTCACGGCCTTGCCCTTGCGCAGTCCTCATGGCAGCCCCGTGCTTCAGAAGAGAAGGTCAGACGTTCAAGGAGTAGAGTGTCAAGCGGGGGGCACAAACAAATGCCTATAGAGGACAGATGGCAGGGACTGAGGTGGGCGGGGAGGGTGTGTCCTGTCCAGAGAAAATTCACATTTAAGCAGCGTTCAAATACCCAGCAGGGCCAACCACACACCAGGTGGGCGGGATGTGGCCCACAGGCCGCCAGTTTGAGACCTCTGGTGGCCGTGAGAGGATGTGTGAGCCAGGATTTAAGCCCAGGTCCTCCATCCCCCTGGCCTCTGCTCTCAGTCACTGGGCAGCGTCAGTACTGTGGCTTGGGCCCGTTCTCTCACACTGATGTGCCCTCTTCCCTCCATAACCGAAGGCTCACTGGTCCTTTAGGATCTAACTGAAGCGCTGCCTCCCCGTGCTGACTACCTGGACAGACTGCTCTCCCGGTCTGCATCTGTTTCCCCTGCCTGACGCCCCTATGCGAAGGGCCTCATCTGTGGGGCACAGCACCTGATCCAAAGTGGTGAATGTGGGACTGTTGCGGGGGTGTTGTCTATGAGGCAGGGACCCAGCATTCCACCATGCACTGGTGCCCACTGGTGCGTGCTACACAGTAGGAGCTTGCGTTGTGTGCTGGGTAAATGCAGTAAGAGAAGTTGCCTACACACCCCTGGCCCACTGGCTCTCCTGACCCTCAGATCTCAGCCAAGGTGTCCCCCAGCCAGGCAGCCCCTGATGTGCCCTTGTAGGACCCCCATGCTGTAGCTGACGGTCGACTTTTATCCCAGTCTAGATTTGGAGACCTTCTAGAGCAGATCCTGTTTTTTCTCACCACCCTGACATCTAAATAACTGTGGCTGCCACCACCGAGGGTGCTTGGGAAGCGTCCCATAGATGGCGGCTCCAAGGCCAAAGAATCCCGTTCCCAGGCCTTTGAGAGGTTGCAGGGGCAGCCGCCAGGCAGCATCTGGGCTCGAATGTGCAGAAACCAGGGTGCTCCCCACTGTGTACTGGGCCACTCCTTCCCCTGCTCTGCCTCTGCCTGCTGTGGCCCCCATTAAAGACTTGTCGGGAAATGTAAAAGGCTGGCTGGGCTGGAAGTGCTGGATGAGCTGCCGCTGCCATTAAGTTAATGGTATGGGCCTTTTACAGGTGTGTTAAATAGATGCGGTTATTAACGAGTATATTAAGCCAATTAAAACCAGCCCTTTGAGTGGGATTTAATGTTGCTACAGGGAGACACGAGAGCAGGCCTCCAGAAGCTGAGGAGGGGGCAGGGCAGGCGGAGTGGGCTGGGGGTGTGCAGAGGGACCGTGGAGCAGTGAGGAGCTTGCACTGCAACACTGCACCACAGGGCCTGTGATATGGGACCCCAGGCACCTACCGCAGAGTGAGCCAGGCAGGGTCAGGCTGGGTCCAGGGAGAGGCGTGTCTGTTCTTCAGCCCTCATCACCCTGTGGGGTGCATTCTGGGGCTGCCCCCATTTGACAGATGAGCAGCTGAGGCTCAGAGAGGGCAAGTCACCTGTCCAAGGAGATGGGAGCGGCGGACAGGAGGCTTGGAGCTGAGTTCTGGCACCGGAGCTACCTCCTGGATCCCCCTGCGGTCCTAGGTTCCTACTGCTTCACTGGGCATGCCCCTGGAGAAGGGGTTTCCTTGGTGGACCTCAGCTTTGTGGACTGTAGAATGGAGCAAATTCTCGCCTTCCCATAGGAGAGGGGAGAGTGAAAGGTGTGCAAGCACACAGTAGGTGTTCACCCACTGTCGTTTCTTTCTCAAGCTGTTGCATGCTTTGTCTACTGCCTCCTTTGTGAGGGCGCAGGGTATTATCTGTGTTGAAATGGGGGAGCAAGGGGCATCCAGGGCTTCTCTAGGATGGAAGGGGTCCCTGGCACAGGGCCTGGCCCCAGCTCGTCGGGGGGAGCAGCTCCACATCTGCATTCCCCTTCGCTGCCACACTCTGCCCTTGGAGGTGGCAGCCTCCTGAATGCTCAATTAACGTGACACTAATTAGCTGGTGGCAGAGGCAGAATCCCTAATGAGGTCGCCCAGGAGGGGGGGCAGGGATGGCGGCTGGGCTAGGGCAGACACAGCTGTTCTCCAGCCTCTATGGGAGGGGCAGGAGTGGCTGCTCCATACCTTCCTGGCTGTCCCAGGGACCCTGCCCCAGCCCAATGACTGGGGCGGTAGCCTGAGGGCTCCTGAGGTCAGCCACAGGTGTGAATCCACGTGCCCCCGTGACCAGCCAGGGAACCTCAGGAAAGTGACTACAGCTCTCCTGATGTCTGTTTCCCCTGAGGGCAGGGGAATGGAGATGAAATGACAGAATGCATGTCAGTCAGCCTGGTACAGGTGCTCAGAAAAGGCTAACCATCTTCCTTCTAGCTCTTTCTGGGCCAGAAATGGCAATGGAGGGTAGCAGGGAACAATGAGCCCTGTACAAAGGACCCTGCCTCTCGTTCTCTAACATGTGCACACATGCAAGCTACATACATGTGCTGAGGTGCTCACATGTGTGCCCAGACATTCAGGGACACCCTCAACATACAAAGACAGTCAGGTGCTCTAGGCACACGTTTATCTACACACAACTTCTATACCCCACAGCCCTGAAGCAGCCGAGGTAGCCCTGCAGGTGGGGCTGGGGACACTTTAATCCCTCTCTAGCCTGACTTTCTTGATACTCCCATGTTCCTCAGTTTCCCTTGCCCACTCCCTAGCAGGGCTCTGTCTTTGGGAGCCCACACCTTACTCTCTGCCTGCACCCAAGGCTCCAGATTTGTCTGTGTTTCCTGTCTTGTCCTGATGTTGCTGCCTGTCCTTTTGCCTTTAGCCTGGCCTCATCTCTACCTTCCTCCAGACATAGACCTACTCCTGTCTGTCTCCAACCATA